ATTTGATATGTTAGGTATTTCCTTTAATGACCTTTAGACCCCAAATCACACATAGCACGCTTGGGCCGCCTGTGTTTTCATTTCTCACACTTGACTCTTCCGCACTCTTCCTGGTAATGTTTTTCAAATTTGGATCATATTTTGAACAAGGGTTACCTTCCCGCCCCCAAGTGTGCTTCAACGAACACTTGTGCGACAGAAAAATGGCTCAAATGTAGCAACGTGTCATTCATTTGGATTACCTATTGCCGGAACGAGTTGCGATTCGCCGCCGTTCAACTGAATATGCTTTCCAACTGAGGATCATCAAGCTGATCTCTTAGGGACCGTTCATTTTTCACAAGGTAGGGAGGACTGATAAGATTTTGGGGGGGGGTCACCAAAAAAAACGGCCTTAAACGGGGGACCATCTAAAAAATAAGGCAAAAAGGGGGTCACGTAAAATATTTTAGTAATGCCTTAAGATGGGATATGTTTTACTATTCTCAAAAATATATTGTATTGGGGGGGGGGTGGTCATGGATAAAATTAAACGACTGAGGAGGGGTCATGCAACTTTTTATTGAAAGTTAAAAAAATCCCACCAGTCCCCCCTACCTCGTAAAAAATGAATGGTCCCTTAGAACAGCTGGGAGACGAAGCTATTGTGTCGGTTTTCCTCAACTGTGCATACCTTCAGCTTGCGTGTTTGATTTGTTTTCAGAAGTGGGAAATTTAATCGCTCTACTCCCCATGTTTTTCACGATAACACTCCCTTCTGGCCTCCATCACTGAAATTCGTTGGGTATTGTAAATACGTTTCGTCAAAATAACACTTTTTGGCTGAAAAGTCGGTCATATCGCTTGTTTGTGGGAAAACGTTTTGGCAATTTAAGAAGAAGGTACGGGTTTGTCTGTTTCCCAATTTAACCCTCCACTTTTTCATCGAGGAATGAATTATTGTCAGTCCAGTGTGAGCCACACTTGAAACTTGAATATTTATTTTTAGCTGGAAGACGCGGAATTTGCTGCTCAGTCCGCACAGAAAAGCAAAAAGAAACTGGAAGAGGACGTGGTTGACCTGCAGAACCAACTGGAACTCTTGAGCAAGTCCAAGAAAGAGGTAGTTCGGATCCGACTGTTTTTAATTTAACGTCCAGTTGTCGGGTTCGTTGGGAGAATAATTATACCCCTTGGAACATTTATTGACCCAATCTCTTCTTGTCAACTTTACCTTATAGTAATGGTGTTGATCAGTAGTTTACTGATGCTGGTGCAAGTTCTGATTGCGATAATGCGACTTCTACCTCTCGTGGACTCTTTTTAAGTATAGAGACTTCTTAGGAAGGACTCAGCTTTGTGAACTAGTCGCACACCTTTCGTTATTTTCAATCGGCGTGACAGGGATTTTTGTTTTTTTTTAAGGAGAAATTGAAATAGTTTGTTTCAAGTTTAGGATTAACTGTTGTTTTTTTCTTCGTTTGTTTCTCAGCTCGAGACGAAGTATATGTCGACGCTTAAAGAAAACACTGAATTGCAAAGCAGGGTGGAGGAAGACGAAGACGACATCGATTCACTTGCGGAGAAAAACAGACAACTTGGAAAACAGGTTTGTGAACTTCGGTACGAATACTAGCTTTCCTTTTTTTACGTTTGCCGACCTGACAAATATGTGATTTCATACCTCAAATCTAGAGGAAAATCTTTAGACTTACTTTAAACTATGACTTGAAATATTTTTAAGCTTTGAGAGACTTGTGTCGTTCATTTTCCCTATGGTCGCCTCTGTCCCTGATTTTGGTCAACTGGAAAGTTTATTTTTCATTTCTTAGCTGGCAGAGGCACAGCAGATGCTTCGTGAGCGGGAGGCTACCATTCAAGATATTACAACTCAAAAGGAAAACTTGGAAAGCAAGGTAAATCACTTCAAACAACATCAGGTCAAATTTTATGCCCGAAGCTCGTTTGTGCAGGTCCAGTGGAGTGTGGAAAAACAATAGTCCATTTTATGGTTGAGTGCTTAGTTGCCAAGCCTTTGGATAGGAGTAAGGCTAAAGGTGACCATGTTATGATACACACGTTGCTGCTTTTCAAATGTATATTACTTAGATATGATGCTAACTAGATACTGGTCTCTATCTCAACAAGGTCACCTTCAGCCTCACTCCGAATCAAAGGCTTGGCAACTAAGTACACAGCTGTTAAATGGCCTATTCATGACCGCACTGATTTTAAAAGGGAGTAAGATTCTAATAAAACTGCGGTGCTGCGGCGGTAAAGGGTATAGCAAGATAATTTGGTTTTATCAACTTAAAAGTCGAGAATGTAAATTGGCCGCCGTAAAGATTTATTTTAAGCCGAAGTTTCGATCGTTAGCCCTTCGTCAGAGCTAATCATGTGAAGACAGGCTAACGCTTACGTTAAGGAACTCTTTATGATGGCAAATTACTTGATCAACTCAGCTGATAAAACCAAATTATCCTGCATTGTTTTTGCCCAACGTTTCCATGTGATTGTTTGGAAAAGAAAGGAAAAACGACTCACTTTACTTGTGTTCATTCGGACACTTGTCATATTTCCTCTGATTGGCCGACGTGAATGCTTTGATTTGGTTTCGCGACGCTCAATCAAATAGCTTTCTAACTTGTTAACGTTATCTCGTTAGCCTGTTCCAGGCATACCCTTGTGATTTTCGCTTGTCTCCGTTGCCCGAGAGCGCTGCGCATGATATTGTCTCTCGAAATTAGAAAAGGGCTGTAGTTTACCGCTGCTACTTGACGTAAAGAGAAAGTTAGATCCTCTCGCCTTGTGTCTTAGAATAGATTTTCGCTTGTCTCCGTTGCCCGAGAGCGCTGCGCATGATATTGTCTCTCGAAATTAGAAAAGGGCTGTCGTTTACCGCTGCTACTTGACGTAAAGAGAAAGACAGATCCTCTCGCCTTGTGTCTTAGAATCTGCTGACACCGTGAGACAGCTCTGGCGTGCTAAGCATTAGTCACGTGCCGTCAATAATGATTTTCTTATTTCCTTGTCCAGGTTGATCACATGTCGAACCGTCTTTCGTACTTGGAAGAGTGTACAGTTGAAAAACATCAGTTTGATCAAATGGAAAGCAAGGTGATCACTTCTCTATGGTTAAATCATGATTAGAAATTAGTGTAAAGTGTCTCTCATTATTAGCGCTGCAAGATGCGCCTTTCCCCTTCGCCGGGAATATTTGAGACTAGTCGGGTAGAGGTTTGCCGGCGATCTGGCACTAATGATAAGACCTCCTTTCAGACCTCTCGCGGGCTCACATTGCTCGAGGCCTTGTACATTCCCGCAGGCAAAAAAACGCTTGTCCTAATATGTTAAATTTTAATGAGGGCTGCTCGAAGGCTAAATGTCTGTGTGGTTTACTCCTGTTTATTTTCATTTCCAGAGAAGAGAACTTGCAACGCAGTTGGATTTAGAGGGATCGTTCAAAAAGCGACAAGAGGTGCAGTGGTTTCGTTATATTCTATTGTCGTAGCTTGTCGGTAGTGACCTTATTTGTTTGTGGTAAGACTCGGTTTACCGGATATCTTACGAAGCTTTTTACGTAAATTTCCGAATTCGAGCCTCTTTCCCACAATTGTTGTCGCTTTTTTATTTGGCGTACTTGTTCCTGTAACGTGCTGTTTGTTCTTTAGGTTCAAGTCAGTCGGCTGAAGGAGCAAGTTCAAAAGCTAAATGACGAAAGGGAAGATTTACAGCTCAGAGAAAACAAACTCACCCAGGAGAACTCCAGGTACGTACACCTCTTCTATTCAGTATTTTCTTTCTTGTTTTTAGTAGATATATTCTTTTAACTACTTCGGTCTCAGTCCTTTTAATTAGAAATCGTCACTCAATCCGTCTCCATCTAACAAGCGCATTGCAGTTAGCGATAGCATACTACGGAAAACAGCTCGCTTTAGAACGTATTTTGCTTTGGGACGTTCAAAAACAGTGATGTCCCGCAAGTTGGATTTCTAAGCGCACATTTACTTGTCAGGGTGGCCATGTTTTTAACGCAAATAATACATTTGCAGGCTTTGGTTAACAACTACATTCTTTACTCTCACGCCTCTTTAGATTGGATCGACAAATGCGTGAGTTAAAGGAGGAGATGAATTCCCTGTCCAGACAAGAAGAGGAACATAAGAAAAGGAAACTTGATGCTGTGAGTCTTATGCGAATCATTTTACTTCTTAAGGCGATCATCGTAGCACTTATTACGATATCATTCTGTTTATCTTCGATTGTTTGTTTTTTGTTTCTCGTGTGTTGACAAAAATAGCATAGTATAAGTGTTGTGAAGTCTCCAGCTCTTCGTCGTTTAAAATGTTTATGTTTCTGTGAAATTTTTAGGAGCGAGAGGTTGAAAATTTGGAGGGTGTTGTAACAGGCTTAAAGCAAGAATTAGGAATGGCAAAGAAACGCGTTAGTGAATTGCAGCACGCTTTGGAAGATGACATGCATTACGACTCGGAAGGAATGTCGAACGATGATGATTACGATGATGAAGACGACGACGACCTCGGTATGAGTGATGAATCCGACGAGTTTAAAGACACTGGGTCGCGACGGTCAGAGCCGAGGTCATATCGGTCGTTCGACGAGCTTGACGACGAATATGACATCACTGACCGGCTGAAACGAAAATTGGACGATCTTAGGGACGATTTGCCATCTTCGCCAAGAGGGTCACGACCTGCTGCTGATTCTGTGGATTCCGACGTGTTCGAGAGCACTCGGAAATCCGATAACGTCAGTGACACGCGAAAAAGCGGTCGTAAGGAAAGTGGGGAGGATCGCCATCATCGGCGATCACGATCGGGTACCGACGAACATGATACGAGTGTCGATAAGAAAAGAAGGAAAAGTGACGATAAAAGAAGAAAAAGCCTTGAAAAGAAGAGAAGTTTTGAGAAAAAATCCAATCCCACGGATAATTCCACGCATTAACGATAGGACAATATAGATGACTGTGGTGCGTGATTTATGTTGTGAACACGATTTCACGGCTTTTTGGAACAGAGTTTGGTGCTGAATTGTGTTAAAGGCGATGGAACCGTGGAGATTGGTGTCACTTATCAGAAAATAGGGGCAGTCTAGCCAAAACAGGACATTGAACTCGGTTGATACATGTTCAGAAATGGCTTAAAGACTCAAAACTATATAAGGATCACGGGATAAACAGAGTCAGATGGTTCGGTTTTTTTTAAAAAAATGCTCAAGGATGAATGGCCGGTTTTAAATGTGGTTCTCCTATGAGAAACTACATCCAAAAATGAAATTGCAGAATTAACGTTTCTCGACAGCCTACTCTAAATAATTGAGTTTCGTTCCATACTAACATTGTTATCTGTGTCTCACAAATGTGTACATTTTGTGTTGGCTATTTCATTTCTGTTCTGGCTCTAGGATAACAATTTGAGGTTCGTTTGTTAATAATTGAAGGTGCAATGATATCAAGGTTTTATTGGAAAGTTTGTATGCCACAGATTTAAATACTTTGGTTCCATCTCGGTCTCTCTTGCGAACAATTTTGATCAGTGTCAACTTTTCAGGCCCAAAATGCGTGCCCTTATTTACCATTTATTTAATCGCTCCCACTTTATTGTTTTTCTAAATTATGAAAGTATCCGTGTTAACACGCCTCGTGGCAAGTTTTCAGGACCACTTGTTACTGAGGTCACAGAAAGGAAATTAATCAATCACGTCATGGGAAACGAGAGGTTATAACTAGGAACTGTAGAGCTTAGAACCAAAGCAAGAAAATGTGGTTAAAAGATTTGATAGGATTGATGGCTTGTGTTCTGATTCGCACGATAAAACTTACTTTCATTTCATTAGCGCGTTAGAAATGAATGACCTATGGTTAATGTCATATCTAGTGCGCGCAAATGAACAAACAAGTCCTACAACATGGAAACCCACGAGATGAGTTCCAGGAAGAAAATTTTCCGATATCATGATTCAAAGGAGAAACGTACGAACAACTGACGGTCCAGGTATTTCTTTTTTTAGTTGGGACGGTACTTTGTGCATCACTGGTCGTGTCAACTTGAACTGAAGCCAATCTCAAGTTCGATCAATTATACTGCATGTAGGTTTTTAAAATGTAAGGTTGCTCTCGTTGGAAAAGATAATTAGGATGGTTGTAAAGGACAGAAGAATTATGTTGCGCGAACCTTTTCGTGTACAGTTCTATATATCACTTGAATATATTTTATATTTGGACTGAGTGAAAAGATTTAATTGTGGTAGAGTAGTTATTTTTGTAAGGCTTCCTGCGTCTTAACGTAGGCTGTAAATTAGGGATTTGATGGGTGTACATAAAGATATTGGCCTAAACGTCCATGTTGTATCATATTTTATCATTGAGGACCCTAATATCCTTTAGAACTCGGAGATCAGTGTTTTTTTCCCGCTAGAGGCGCGTGAGGCGCGAGCGAGGAAAGTGCAAGGGTCCAGTCACGCGCGAGAGATGTGTAAAAAATATTGATCGCACTTTGCCTCTGCTCGCTTGAAAAACGACATCGCTGACAAATATCGCGTGTCCCACAGGCTTTGGTAGAATGTGTTCCGTTCAAAAGGTGACCTCTTGGATATACTGGACACCTGTAAGGAATTTTAATCCTCCATCACCCTCTTCCCACTTCACTTTTTCCCCGGCAAAGAGTAAATTATTATATGCCGAAGCTGCGTGGTGACCAAAGCTCTCCTTTTTCCTGCCACGTTTATTGTGCAGTGCAATGAAATTCTTTGGAGATTTTAGATATGTGCGTGGCTGTATAATTTTTTAATAAAATAATTACAGACATGATCTTTGCCTAAAATAGGCGGTCGCGGCACCTGAAAAAAAAATCCTCACTTTGGTATTGACTGAATTTGAAAGTTAGCGTTCACAAATCGTGTGGAAATCAGCTGTAGATCCGGGTTTCTCAATCCGTGAATCCGATCCGGCTTAGAATAAAGTTCTTTTGGTCAGATTTAGGCGAGGTCGCTAAGTTTCCTTGGAAAAAAACCATGACGCTGCTCGCGCCACTTACAAACAATATCACGACAAGGTAAATAGCGATGAAATGTCGATTTTGTGAGGCAGTATACGTAAAACTCCTAACGATCTAACGTTCGATCTTGATTTGGATACGTTTCCTGAACGATCATGTCGGGCTACGGAGTACCTTCAGTGGCCATGACGCCCTTTTTAAACGAAGGAAAAGCCATCCAAGATTTGACGAGTCTTCTTCAGCTTATTGAGGACAAAGGAGAGCTCAAGGAACTTCTGGAGAACGAAAGTCAGCTCAATGATCTAATCGCAGATAATGAGGAGGTTTGTTTTCACTGTGTATGTGTCTCTATATTTTTCCATTCTTTTTTTTCGTAGTTAAATATCGCATACAAATGTTTAATGTGGATAACTCTAGGGGAACTGATTTAGCATGGTTCGTCTTTTCGATCGAACTGATATGATCTATAGTTCTTCTAATCAAAGTGGCTACATCGCCATCGTTTCCTCTCTTTCGAACTTAAATATAGCGTTGTGTGAAGATATGTAATTTTAGTTTTTGGGTAAATAAATTGAAGCTACCAGTAGGTTGTACAAACTGAACCGAAGAGTAATGGAGATCTGAATAATACGGAATTTATGGAAAGGAGGTTATTAGTTATGCATAAACGGCTGCTTCAAGTCATATGCAGCTTTCTTTTTTTTTTTTTTTTGCACTTTACTGCAAATAGAGTATAATGATTCTTTGTTGTCTGTGATTTGATTGAAGCAAAATGGTCCCCAACTGACTAAAGTGGATGTAAATTGTAGGGATCAATGAAAACAAACCTAGGTACAGTACTGACATTTTAAACCCAATTAGCAGTAATGTTGCAATCTACTTCCAAGCCAATTTGCCGTTGTGGATAAGAGTACAGACATTGCTGCTTTGGTCTATGTGTCATGCACTGAAAGAATCGTTTTATTTCAGATTGATGTTGTGGCACAAAACAACTGGACAGTGGTTTAGTGTGATCTAAAATCTTATCAATAACTAAAGGACATTAATTTGTTGTGAGAGTGGTCAAAATTTGTTGCAGACTCACTCAGTTGTGCGTCATGAGTCCACAACAGTTTGACCACTGTGACGATGAATATCATTGTCAGTAAGAGTTCAGACCATGCTGAACAACTGTTAATTTGTTAAGTCTGTGGCCAGTCCTGACAGGTGCATATAGATTTGAAAAGTCAGAGAAGCCACGGTTGTCATTAGAATGTGTAATAGATGTATGATGTGAACTGAGTGGGAAGCTGAATTGAATTATGCTTGCATTGCAAGCATGGTGTTTTGCAAAGGAACCTTCGGGGGGGGGTGGCATGTTGAGAGCCCTGGCAAAGATGGGATACGTGGGCAGGGAGGCTGAAACTCACTGAGCTTGTAGTCCAGCGGGATGGGTATTACGGCGCACAAAGCGCGCGTCTCAAACAATAGGCACGGCCGCGTGGCATGCCCGCAAAATCCGAGAAAACGCGCGCTGGTGGCATGTTGAGAGCCCTGGCAAAGATGGGATACGTGGGCAGGGAGGCTGAAACTCACTGAGCTTGTAGTCCAGCGGGATGGGTATTACGGCGCACAAAGCGCGCGTCTCAAACAATAGGAACGGCCGCGTGGCATGCCCGCAAAATCCGAGAAAACGCGCGCTGGTGGCATGTTGAGAGCCCTGGCAAAGATGGAATACGGGGGGGGGGGGGGTCCAGGTATAGCATGATTCCCCCCCCCCTCCATAAAAAAAAGTTTGGAAAAAAAAGTTGAAACTCTCTGAGATGTGACTTCAAGCATTTAGGGACATATCTGAGTTATTTTAGACTAGACTTTGGTGTTAGAATCAGTTCTAAAATACTTATTTCCTTTGATCACAATTCACAAAGAAGCCAGCAGAAACTGGTCTGAAAGCCAGCAATTTTCTGCTACCTAGTGGCATCTAAGGACAACCCTGAGTATTTAGATGTTCATGGATGCAATTTTTTACTTATTTTTTACAATAGTGACATGATTGTTGTTAATAACATTTTACATGTAGGTTAAGAGAATCAAAGTGCAGCGTGAGACACTTATGGCAAGCAACAGAAGTCTTGCAGAGTACAATCTGTCACAGCAGCCAATACTGGAAGCAAAGAAAAATGCACTTTTCAATGCCCACCAAAGCAAGACTGCAATTCAAGAGACATATGAACAGAAAAGACAAAAGCTAGGTAAAGTATTTTGTTCAGCACAGTTGTATCAGATTTGTGTTAAAACATAATTGTCCACCTGCATCTGCCTCAAAATAGTGGCATGTTTATTTTTCTAGTCTTGGCACACCATTGTGACAATCTCATTATAACTTACCTGTTGATTCAGCTAATTACATGAATGTGTCGCTAGGTGATTAGATCATGTGAATGTAGGCATGTTGACTCGTACAAATGTAGATGGTTTTCTCTGACAGAGCTATCCATTCTCTGTTAACCAAAACATCAGAAGACATTGGGCTTTTGGTTGAATGAAAATAAATGATTCTTTGCAGAAGAACTTTCGAGCCAATATTCACCAGACACAACATTAGCATTACTACAAACTTCTGCAGCACAAGCAGAGGAAGAAGCTGAGGTAAAATGAAAGTGAGAGTGTATTTGGACTCTCTTTTACTCTTCTCTCTCAATTTGCATGGGGTTACATGGGGTGTGATGAATAGTATATACAGTACCGCTCAGATACACATTAAGCAAAAAAGGCACATAAAATGCACCAAAAATCACATGCAATTGCAAATAAAAAAATCATGGGCATAAAAATTTGGCACATATGGGCATAAGCTTGACAAATCTGCCTCATTTTTCAAAGCAGTTGTTTCTTAAAAAAAAAAAAAAACATCCATTACAACGGCTTTTGAATGTGTTCAAAATAAATTTATTCCTAGTGTATCTTGTATCATCGCAGAAATGTCTGGTAAATTTCAGTGACAGTCAAATGTTTGGCATAGTCCTACCCCATGTACATGGATATGTGATACAAAGCAAAAAAATGCACTTCTTTGATAGTATTAAGCACTGGCATGGATGAATTTGGTTTAAACTCCATTTTCCAGTTACAGAAATGTTAAAATTTGTGTGAAGCTGTTGGTGAAATGGCATTGAGTTCAACAATAACATCTTCCCTGAACAATTCTTTTGTTTGATCAGGTCCTCTTTCTGTGAGTGAAAATTTCTCAGTGGTTTGACAGCTGATTTGTTGAAAAACAAAACGGAAGTGTACGCTTGTTATATGATAGGTGTTGTTATATGTTATGATTGACTATTTTGTGTACATTCTTCAGCACCGAATAAAGTATTTTATTCCCTTTCAGAAAATTGCCGATAAATTCCTAGATGGTGAAATTAATGCTGAGGACTTCATTCAGGCATTTCAAAGTCAGAAGACTATTCACAGCTTACGAAAAATAAAAACTGAAAAATTGACTGAGCTATTAAGGAGTAGAATGTCTTCCCAGTATTCCTATAGGCTTTAATGGTTCATATTCTTTAACAAGTAGAACAATTACATGTAAAAAATAAACAGGCTTGTGGTCTTTTATTTGAAATAAAGTAAAGCCCTGTGACTATTGTCAAACTCTGTGGTGGGGGCCAGCCACAACAAAGATTTAAGACTTAACTTGACTGTGATTTCTGTGGTTGAAAAGGCATGAATTGGAGTTGGTAGATTAGGATGAAATACTTTAGATTTCTCAACCTTTTAATGGCAAAATGAAAATTTATACTCCATGTGAAATCATCAACATACTAGTTTTTACAGAGCAGGCCCTGGTGGTTAGAAGGATGGATAACACTATACACTGGATAAATCTCTATCCGGTGGATAGCGTAGTACGTTTTGGTAACGCTTATCCGCTGGATAGCGATTTATCCGTTGGATAGCGTTATCCACCCTTTGAACAACCAGAGCGAGTTGTTTTGGGCATTTTGCTATACAGTAAATGGTTTGAACCCAGGGGTAACATGTGAAAGTGTAGTGCAATCATCCGGGTGAGTGTAGTCCTGAGAAGGACTGTTGTTGGTAGTGGTGCCTGATGTTTAGACAACCTGGGGGGAAGTCATCATCAGAGTCAAAGCGTGTTAAGTGTGAATTGTCAGTCTGGGTCTGACTCAGATTAAACTGACTGAAATGGGGATTTAAGCCCAGATTGATATTTTTCACCTCGGATGAAGCAATCTGTAAAATTAAATATAGTAGGTATGTAACAGGCTGGGAATTATGCTTAAATGTTTACTTGTAATGCAAGCTTTAGATGCCATTGTGTTCACATAGCTTGGAATTGGTTTCATTACTTTAATTTTCTTTAGCATAGCTCACTTCAAAGTGTAGTTCAAAGCTAATTTTTGGGTTTAAATTGATAATTACTGGTTTGAAATGAATGTGGTATGCATATGGTTTGAGACCAACAGACAGTTGGACAGGTGTCAGAAAGCTTTCCAAAAGCTTGAAAGTTGTGTGAAAGAGCTTGCTCTTTTGTACAATGTTAGTCCATCAAATTTTTGTGCAACCTTCAGGCACTGGTTTGTCATGTCTTGTTATACATAGTTTCTTGTCATCTATGTAATTTTTTTAGTTTAAACTGAGAATAAAGAAAAAGTGTTGCTTTCCTCACTTGCTCATTTGATTTTACATCAAAATATCAATAATTATTTCACTCTCCTTAAAGTAAACACCCCATCTACTCCCCGCCAAGAATATCACTTAAAATTATTTGAAATAAAAAATTGTAAGTATGCCAAGTGCTTCAAGAAGTCATACATTCTGTACAAGAAGAATACTTTGTTTTAACTCAAATGTTTTTAGAAATTTGCAGAAGGTTGTAAAACATAATAATCAAAGAGTGATTAATAATGATAATTGAACTGAGTGGAGTGCAATTTGGGCTGAAATCATATGTGTGATTTCAAAATCGAACTAGCACGCAGCGCGAGTTTGATTTGAAATCACAAGTATGATTTCAGACTAGAATTGCATGACACAAGGTTCAATTACCACTTTCTTACATTCATTTTGAAATCACCCAAATTCAGGACTTGGTCAATTCAAATAATATTTTACTGATACAGTACTGAGCCAGTTTTTAAATAGTAAGTGGAACCGGAAACGCTTTTACATCTTATCTTGTATGCAAAACAGAAAGACTGACGTCATGTGTCAAAAACTCAGTCAAGCATAAAATGATGTGATTTAGAGCAAAAAATAGTGCGATTCGTGAATAAATCACACCAATTAGAGCCAATCAGATTACAGGGACCACTAGTGATTTCAAAATGGATGTAATAAAAGCTTCTAATTGATTTGTGAGAATAAAGGAAAGCACTGCAACCTCAAGCTGAGCTCTTGATT